TCACACACACACACACACACACACACACACACACACACACACACACACACACACACACACACACACTCTTTAAACATTTCTCATCAAATCCTTCCAGATTAACTTTATTGCTCTATATTCATACAGTGTGTCAACAGCAGTTATTTAGTTTTTTCCTTATGCAAAAATAAATTTTGTTCTTTTGATTTTAGGATGAAATGTGACCTGGACACGCGTTGAGATTGACTCCTCCAGCACATGAAGCCATTTAACAATCCACTGAACATAATCCAGAGTGACACCGGAGCAGAAGTCATGAAGCCATGCTCTTTGTTGGATTATTGGATGTGTTTTCCAGCAGCGGAGCTGAAACTTTCAAACGCCTCATTCATAAATGCATGCAAACAGATTTGTGCGTCTGCGTTTCCATTAAAGCTCCAAATCAACTTAATAAGGGCAACATGTTAGCCAGCGCCCGGTAATAACAGCGCAGCCGAAGGAATTAAAATCACGCGTTTAATTAATTCTAATTAGCATTGTTTTTAATCAACAAGCAAATTCCAAAATGACTTTTGACAAGCTAATTAGCTCATGCAAATCTGCGCTCACGTTCTCCGGCGCTGATGCATTCGCTCTGAGCCAAAGCAAATTGCATGCAGCAGAAAAAAAGACAGAAAAACACGAGCAAGAAGCAAGATTTTACATATTCATGCACACACATAAACAGCGGCGTTAGCAAACACTCATGTCCTGGAGAACTCTTTACCGATGACTTTGCTCGTGGGCGAGTTCTCGTTATCGTCTGAGCCTGACGAACTTAATTAAGATCTGTCAAAACTAGACGCCTCTTAATCACAGTAATGTACTGGATCCTTCCTGATGTGCTTCGTTTAATTACATTTATCAGTGTGAGGAGTGCAGATGACCATCAGGAAGAACAGTAAACATCTCAACAATATCTCAATTATTCTCGTTTCTCACAGACAGAAATTAGACTAAATGGAGTCTCCTGCTTCTCAGATGTTTCTCCTGAGAAAAGACTCCAGTATCTCACATAATCTCATATGTGAGCCTGCAGCACAAAAGCAGTCTTAAGTCGCTGGGGTATATTTGTAGCAATAGCCAACAATACATTGTATGGGTCAAAATTATTGATTTTTCTTTTATGCCAAAAATCATTAGGATATTAAGTAAAGATCATGTTCCATGAAGATATTTTGTAAATTTCCTACCGTAAATATATCAAAATATATCATTTTGATTAGTAATATGCATTGCTAAGAACTTCATTTGGACAACTTTAAAGATGATTTTCTCAATATTCAGATTTTTTTGCACCCTCAGATTCCAGATTTTCAAATAGTTGTATCTCAGCCAAATATTGTACTATCCTAACAAATCATACATCAATGGAAAGACTATTTATTCAGATTTCAGATGATGCATAAATCTCAATTTCGAAAAAATTGACCCTTATGACTGGTTTTGTGCTCCAGGGTCACATATGTCTCTTCAAAGTCTCAAACTGCACTCAGTCAATGATCTTATTATGATATCATAAAAATTTTCAACCCGTTTGTGTCTATTTGTATATCTTCTGAGGAATTTTAGGAGAAACATCTGAGACAAAGTTCTAATTTCAATAAAAGTGATGCGTGAGCTATAAAAGAGAAAAGTCTGAGCAATAAAATCTTGTGAACACACCATGATATAATGGTAAACTCATCATTTTCTTGATGTGTTCTAGAAGTGTTTACACTCCACAGCATCTCAATTTTTGAGCAATAACGAGTCCGAGCAATAACATCTATAATCCTAATCATGATAAACTCTTTGTTGTAGAAGTATTCCCAACGAGAAACACACACGCAGCGTTTAGATAATCCTTAACTAGCTAAATCCTAAGCGTAGATCGGATCTCACGTCCGGACTGCGCCAGGAGAATTGCGCTGACATTTGCTGTAATTTGCTGATCCTCTAAGCGGCTCGCTTCAGTCCGCTTCAGCTGTAAGTGGAGTCAGCCAACAGCAATTACTGTGTGAGCGCTCAGCGGGAAGAAGACTTTAGCAGCGCGCTGCTGTCAGGCCGCTGTTCCCGCACCGGGGGACTAATGCTTTCATCGTTCTAGCGAGCTCGTTTCAATGAGACCTCGGGGATTCGGCACGGCAAAATTATTCCCATTTTTTCAGCCGTCATAGAAGACAAGTGCAGCTGCTCGTCTGACGCTCACGTGTGCTGCATTTATGCACGACTCCCGTCGTTTGCTCACATTGTGCAGGGAAATATTCCTAGTGTGTGTAATTGAGTCCTGGACTTACACTGTCACTGATTCTTTTAAGTGGAGGGAACTTTTAATGAACCTTCTTCCATGTTTCATCTGTGCTTTAATACATCAGTGTCCTGAAATAAAGATTCTCGATGTTCAGAGTGATAATTCACACAGAAACGCAAATTCTGTCATCATTTACTGACCCTCATATCTTTCATACTTTCTTCTGTGCAACAAAAAGTTGATGTTTTTAAGACTGGGGTACAAACAACATTTTCTAAACATTCTTTTTTTTTTTTGCATTTCACAAAAGAAAGTAATTTGTACATTAGCGCTGCACAATTAATTGACTTAAAACTAAAATCATGAAATGCCGTGCTCATCTGAAAATGAGGAAATAAATAAAATATTAGTATTGAAATTTTAAGGCTGTATTGTAAAATAACATTACTTTTTCTCAAATACTATTTCGTTAGTATGAATTTTTATATGCGATAAATTATATATTATAAAACCATAATAAAACTAAATATCAATATAAATATTCAAATATAACCTTTTAATAATAATTAAATATTTGTATTTTATATTATATATTCAATCTATAAAACTATATATATATATATATATATATATATATATATACACACACAGTAAAATAATATAATTGTTTATTTTACAGTGAAATATTACAACAGTAGTATTTCATATTTTGCTTAATATTGTTATGTAGTATAATCAGCCCCACAAACAAATACAGCATACTTGGAGATTTTTAGCAAAATTACTAAATAAATAAATACGAAAATTGCAATTTAAATTGCAATTGCAGTAAACTTCTTACCAGATTTTTCCACCAAATCATGAAGGTGTGTAAATAATGACAGAATCTTAATTTTTGAGTGAAAGGAATTTTTTAAAGGATTTTCCTAAATATTTAACGAGGAATTACAGCTTTCGAGCTCTTAGAAATGACGAACAAGTCATTAAAGAGACACAATAAAACATTTACAACCATTAATCATCTCTCCTTCAACAGTAGAATGATAAAAAAGAAACAAGACAAAATTACTCTAAGAATCACTCGTATGCAAAATACAAACAAGTAATAAAATAATAAAGTAAATGTAATCTTTCTAAACCTGCAGCGCTGAATAAATGAGGAGGAATCAGTGTGATGTTCACGGCTGCGTCTCGCTTTGATCTGAGCAACTTCAGGCTTGTTAAAGCTTTTTCTGTTCTTGTTCTGTTAAAACTGATTTTCCTTTGAACGCTGGCCTGTAATTGAGAAAGACGACAATGGTTTCTTCCCAACCGTCATTAACTGAGAGACCCGTTAAACTCATTAAACAGGTGAGTGTGAACACTGAGATCACAGAATACACTGCTAAATTATACGAAGTGTGTAGCTCCGCCCATAATGGAATCTGATTGGCTGTGTAAACACTAAATGAGCTCTGATTGGCTGATTTTAAAGTCTGTGCTGTGTAGTGTGTGGGACTGGGTTGTAAACAGCTGCTGGACAGCACAGAATGAAAGGACAGAGAGGGAGTAAGTGAAAGAGGCGTTTTAGTGGCTGGCGTCCCTAAAGACAAGCCAGGATTCACTCCAGTAAACAGGTAATTACGCTGCTCCAGCGCAGCTAAACCAGTCTATTAAAGGAAGTGATTGCGTTCAGAGCGCTGGAACTCACCGCGGTCCGGCACTCCAGAAACATCTCTCAACAATTAACTAGCAATCAGACACAGACTCCAGGGGCATGCTGGGAGAACGCATGCGCTGACAGCCAGATTAGGCCAGACGCATAGCGGCTAATCCATTTATTCTGTACTAAACCCCCCAAAACAACAACAAAAGATGATTAATTGTTTCAAGACGCCGTTTCAGCATTAAACTAACAACTTCTAACACACTTCAGTCCAAAGTTTACAAATTGAAATGGTTTAGAAATTATTTGGTCTAAACCATTCAGTGTGTTCTGAATATAGGACTCAGTGTGTTATAGTGGAGGGTCTCAAATCTGATTTTCTTAAAATATGTGAACCTGGAGCACAAAAGCAGTCATAAGTAGCACAGGTATATTTGTAGCAATAGCCAACAACACATTGTATGGGTCAAAATTATCCATTTTTCTTTTATGCCAAAAATCATTAGGATATTAAGTAAAGATCATGTTCCATGACGATATTTAGTAAATGTCCTACTGTAAATATATCAAAACTTAATTTTTGATTAGTAATATGCATTGCTAAGAACTTCATTTGGACAACTTTAAAGATGATTTTCTCGATATTTAGATTTTTTTGCACCCTCAGATTCCAGATTTTCAAATAGTTGCATCTCAGCCAAATATTGTCCTATCCTAACAAACCATACATCAATGGAAAGATTATTTATTCGGCTTGTAAAAATCTCAATTAAAAAAAAATTACCCTTATGACTGATTTTGTGGTCCAGGGGTAACATATCTTGATATATCTAAAGGGGTTCCCCAGGGTTCCATTTTGGGACCTATTTTGTTTTCTATTTATATAAATGATTCAGGTAAGGACACTCAAGCAAAAAAAAAAAACAAAAAAAAAAAACACTTTTATGCTGATGACATTATTATTTATACACTTGCTCCAGTTTTAACACAGGCGGTGAAAGAGCTTCAGACTGCATTTCAGTCACTGGAAAGTGCTCTGGTGAGCTTAAAATTTGTTTTAAAATCACAGAAAACAAAGTTCATGTTTTTTTTCAAAGGCTCATTCACACGTAATTGATAATCTTAGCATTTTTACATCTGATGGTAAAACTATTGAAAGAGTACCCTCTTACAAGTACTTGGGCATTTGGATTGATGATAAACTTTTATTCAATGTACATATTGCTAATCTAATCAGGAAGCTCAAAGCGAAGCTCGGCTTTTATTTTAGAAATAAATCAAATTTTACGTTTAATTTACGTCCAAAAAGAAACTTGTAGAACTCCAACTTTATTTATAAAGCACCTAATAAAACAACTAAGTTGACTAAAGTGCTGTACAGTAAGTTCAATTAAAAGAATATAAAAGCAAATAATAAATAACCAAAAAAAAAGAAGAAGCTACCTTCCTAACTGTGCTCGATTATGGTGATATATTATACATGCATGCAGCCTCCTCCATCTTAACGTGCCTCGATTCAGTGTACCATGCTTCATAACATTTTATTTCAAATGCATAATCCAGTACTCATCACTGTATTCTGTATGAGATGGTGGGTTGGACATCACTAACCATATGTAGAAAACAGCACTGGTACATTTTTACATAAAGCAATGTTAGGTAAACTTCCAGCTTATCTCTATTCCCTTCTTTGTCTCGGTTCCTTTGCTTTTTAATGGACCACGTGTTTTTACAGAACTGTGGAAAACTGCATTATCCTATTATGCACCTTGGGCATGGAATAATTTGCAAAAATATTTAAAAGTAGATAAATTTGTGTCTACTGGTGAATTTAAAGAGAGTGGTGATGGAGGCTTGTGATTGTTTTTGTTGAGAGGATATTATGTTTTAATCTTGTTCTAATGTGTATTTGTTGTATTTTAAAATGTTGTCTGCCTTGGCCAGGTCTCTCTTGTAAAAGAGATTTTAATCTCAATGAGACTTTCTGGTTAAATAAAGGTAAATAAAGTTTTTCAGACACAAAATAATGACCATTTGTCTTACCTTGTGTGGCGATGTAGTGATTGGGTCGATGGTAGCCCTATAAAAACAACAAGAACCATAAAACATTACATCGTGGAACATGGAAAAACTCTATTTCAACTACATAACATCATAAAAATTTTAATATTTTGGTAACACTTTACAATAAGGCTCCATTTGTTTACATTAGTTAACTACATCAGTTTTCATTTTAGTTTTTGTGTTTTTTTTATATATGTCTATAGCTTTTATTAATTTTTATTTCGGTTTCAGCTTTAATTATTTTAATAGAAATTATTTTCTAGATGCATTCATAAACTAAATGAAAATTGAATGAAATGTTGCTTTGTCAACTAGCTGAAATCAAATAATTTTTGAGATATTATTTCATTTTACTATTGAAGTTTATTTTATTTCAAGTGACACGAATGTGTTTATGGTTTTAGTTTTAGTTTTAGTTGACTATAATAACCCTGATTTAACTATAATAAACGCATTGGTTTACAGTCAGCGCTTAATATTCTCGTCACTGGCTGATATCTACAGTAATTCCTCAGCACAGATTGTGGGATTATGTTCAGAATAGGCTCAGTGTCTGTGGGATTCAGTTAATCTGCTCATTTCATTTGTCAAGCGCCTTGTCTCCGCAGCGCCACACTCTTCCTCCTCTCCGCTCCTCTTCCTCCTGATCTCAGCGTATTTAACTTTAATTAGCGTCTGGAAGAAAGGCTCTGATGGAGAGACGACGCATCTATCAGCTTCTCTCTTCTTCTTCATCTTTATGCGGCCCAGCGTGAAATTTGTTTATGTCTGAGCCGGAGAACCGAGAAAACCATCTGTTTACACACCAGAGAAACGCCAAACACACCTGTGTGCGTCAGACCAGGCAACCTTTCATTCTTTACAGAACATTTATTATAAAAATACACAAAACATTTTTAAATCCTAGAACTATAAGACGTTCTAAAATGGTGTTTTGGTTTGTGTTTGTTCACGTTAACTGAACATCAAATGAAGACAAACCACAAACTTCTACTATATATTTAATAATTTAATATTATAATTTATAATATCTATCTATCTGTCTATCTATCTTATCTATCTATCTATCTATCTATCATCTATCTATCTATATATATATATATATATATATATATAAATTGTATCTTTATAAATCTTTACTGAAACTAAATTTAAACACTTTTGTTCCAAATACAAAACTTCTTTAGAAGCTAAAATTGTAAAAAAGTTGCTAAAATTGTATTCTATATGTATTTACATGTGTATTTTATAAATCATGTTACAATTACTACAGACTAACCTCAACCTAAAACTCAAATAATAATAATAATAATAACAAATAAATAACTAAATAAAATAAAACATAGTTTGCGTTATTTTTGATTATTTTTTTTTTACCTTTATAAATGAATAAATAGAATTTAGTGAGCAAAAATAAAACTTCTTTAGATATTAAAATTAAAAGAAATTTGCAAAAAATGGTGTTTTGGTTTGTGTTTGTTCACGTTTACTCAACTCTAAATGATGATATACCATAAACCTCTGTTTTATATATATATATATATATATAATTTTTACTTTTATAAATCGACTGAATTTAGAGAACAAATAAATACAAAAATAAATGTACAATAATTTTTATAATAAAACAAAAATGTCACTTTTTTTTACAAGTAAAACTAAAATTAGCTAATATTGTGTTTTTGTTAATATATATATATATATCTTGTTACAATTGTTACATACTAACTCTAACCTAAAACTCAAAAGCTAAAGTATTGTTTACTCTATTTATGAATAATTCACATCTCTAAAAAGCAAGCTGGTCACATTGAGCTGAGTTCTGGCTAAAGTTGATTAGGAGTAACTAACGAAGCCCTGCCCGGACTCATGAAAGATTCAGTGCGTCTGGAGTGTGTGATTGTGAAGATGAACTCGAGGCGTGTTGAGAAGAGGCACAAGTCTTTATCAGTGCTGATGGATTTCAGGGTCAGGGTTTCTCTGCTGAATGTTAAAACCACACAGAAACACGTTAATGATCTGCCCTGAGAATTCATCTCCAAAACAAATGATTATTATTAACCGCCTTCTGCTTCTTTACTGATCCGCCTCATTAACTTTACCAGAGTAACACAGACACACCAGTAAACCTCATTAAAGGGCAAGTTCACGCACAAAATCATCATTCTGTCATCATTTACTCGCAGCTTTGCTCCAAACCGGTTCAGTTTCATTTCTGTGAGGTTTCAGCTTTTCAGCTTTAAGACATTTAGCAGCTGCTCTTTGAATTTTTCCACGCTCTTTTCTATTTCATTTGACAATTCTGATTGTTTACATAATAAATATTATTAATAATTATTAATAGTAATAATATTAATAAATAAATATATTTATTATTTAAATGTAATTATTTAATATGAATTAATGAATAATAAGACTTAATTAATTTAATTTAATTAAGATTAATAATAATAATTAAATAATTATTAATTA